AGACTGAAATTATCACACTTGCCTTTTGCCATGTTCCCATTTCATCAGGATGGCCTGAATTTCAACAGGGGAGCAGAAAATGAAACTGCAGTAACTGAGTTCATCTTAGAGGGATTCTCAGAGCTTGATCAAAGACTGCAGCTGTTTCTCTCTCTAGTCCTTCTGCTCATATTCCTGACAACAGCAATGGGGAACACAACCATCATTTTCCTTGTGTGTGTGGATTGCCGCCTGCAAACCCCCATGTACGCTTTCATCAGCAATCTGTCCTTCCTGGAAATCTGGTTTATATCCTTCACAAGCATCAAACTGTTTGTGATCCTGAGTTCTGGCAGGAGATCCATCTCACTGGGCAGCTGCTTTGTCCAGTCCAATTTCTATTTTGCCCTGGGCTGTACAGAGTTTGCTCTACTGGTTGTCATGTCCTTTGACCGCTATGTTGCCATCTGCCAGTCTTTGCATTAGCTGCCATCATGAAGCCACAGCTCTGCATTCACCTGGTGGTTGCTACTTGGGTCCTAGGCGTCACAGTCCTGTGTTACCGCCCGGTCCTTCTCTACAAGCTGACTTTCTGTGGCTCAAACAAGGTTCACCTTTTTTTTGGTGATAACTCTGCTTATTCCAACTGTCCTGCTCTGACACCAGCCAGTTTGGGAAAATAGACTCTGTTTTATTGTCCTTTTTCGTACTGGGGTCCTTCTGTTTGACTCTGGCATTTTATGTGGGCAGTCTTTCCTGTACTGTACACCTGCCAGCAGCCTCTGGGAGGAAAAAAGCTTTTAGTGCATGCTCTTTCCATCTCACCACCTTGGCCATTGCATATGGGAGCTGCATTGCTCTCTATGTGTGTCCTTCCGAAGATATTTCCTTGGAGGCCAACAGAGTTGTAGCTTTGCTGAACACCGTCCTGTACCCATTTTTTAATCCGTTCATCCACAGTCTTAGAAACAAGACCATGATACTGGCCCTGAAGGAAGCCATTATCCATGCAACATTAAAGCTTTTGCCCTAATTGTGATGTGTTTCTGAACAGCAACTCCAACGAGCTGCAATTCTGTGTTAAATTATATCAATGCACATGTATGTAAACTCCAGACACAGATGCCTCAGGAGACTGATGTTCTTCTAGGACTGTGTTAGGTTAAGTGATAAGAAGCTCTCTGCACACTCAAAGAAGGCACAAACTGGCAGGAGGAGTAACTCAGTTAATACTCTGCCCCAGCTGCACACCAGCCTATCACAGGAGAGCCACCAGCTCACCTCCACAAACCAAGGGAGGCACAGAGGCACAGTGGCAGGAGGACACAAGCTCCAGCTCCTGAGGAATGAACATCTCATCCCAGCTCCTTCCAGGGCAGCCCTTGGAGAGCCATCGGCCCTGTTGTGCAGGTGTGGACCCCACCAAGAGGAGTGATTGAGAGCAGCGCTCTGGATCACCATTTGCACTATGGGGATTGTTGCCTTGGGCTGTAGGATGCCTTATGGGATGCAGGGGAAGAGCATTTTGAGATTGCACAGGACTTATTACGGGGTGCTTAGGGCGGGACCTTGACTGGGCCCTGACCAGTGCAGTCTGTCCTGTCTTCTCATTAAACTTAATTTGTAAGTCTTTCCTGTGTGAGGGGATCTCTCTTCTGCATGACTGTGTGAGCACGGGGCTGTGAGTGCAGCAACTGGAGCAGGGCCAGGGTGTCAGGCAGCTCATATGTTATAAGCGTCAGCACCCAAGAGACCAGAGTTACTGGTCTGTGTGTGTGTGTGTGTGTGAGAGAGACCAGAGTGGTTTGTGCAAGCATCTGGAATGGGATTGCGGCCTCCGGGGCTCCAGGTGCCTGCATCTGAGGAGGTTGGTATCCAGGGGAAACGGAAATGGAAATGGGAAGGGGAAGGGGAAGGGGAAGGGGAAGG